TATTCTGCAGCCCAGAGATCTTTCAGCAGAGTCAGAGAAGCTCTGGAGTCTTTCAAGGGGGCCTGTTTGGAGCACGGTTCACCAACAGACCTTCACCATTCCTCCAGTGCCCAGAATCATGCCCTACATACCTTTGTTTGTCCCAGCCAGACTAATGCAACAGCATAAACTAAACTGATTTTCTAGTCCTGCTATATAGAAATATGACATTTGATGATGCTACCATCTGCCAGAACTCCTCACATCATTGGCTCTAATGGGGAAATGTCTGTTCTCTCTCCCTTGGAAAGGAAAGAAGTGAGGGAAATTTCAGATCCATAACTGGGCTATTTTTCAATTTTGCTCCTTTAAACAATGCTAAATGGTCATTATATGTTGCAGATTATGCCCAAAACAGTATCCTAGGAGCTGAGAGCCACTGCATAGAGGCCAGTTAAGCCTAAACCTATTGCCTGAATGTTCTGCATCTAAATCTGCAGTCACCTGTTCAATCCTTTCTTCCTCATTTCTGACCAGGTTACCACCCCAGACTAGAGACAAATATCTTCATAGGCTGTTCGCAGATAGACTTCAGGATCCCTGCAGTAAGAGGTTGTCTCTATACTTATGGAAAAATAATTAAATAACTTAAGCCCCAGGAGGGCCTGTTTCCAGGCCCAAATTGTACAAAAGAGATGAGATCTATCAGGATTTTGGAGACCTTCCTCCCCTTTGCTATGCAAGTTTGGGCTTTAATCAGCATTAATAGAACTGAGTATGAAAGAAAATATACTTGGATAGAATTTAATTTTCAAACAATGGCTCTGCAAAACATCTTTCAACAAAAGATTAAGAAACATGGCTAAAGGATTTTTCAGAACAGTATTGAAGAATTAAAACAACTGAATTTACATAATAACCACACCTCTCTGGAGAATTCTGCCATCAAATCCTCCCAAAATAATAGAAGGAGCCATTTCCTGATTTGTCATTTAACTTTTGTTAAGAAGGTTGCTTTTCCTACCAACAAAGAAACACCTTGGAGGCAACCGTCAGCTGGTGGTGTAATTGAAATGAGGAAAACTAGAAGCCTGGAAGGGGAAACACCCAACCCTAAATCATATGCTTATTCTAAATGGAATATTAAATTAAATTCTTCACAACGAAGGTATTCCTGACTGAGCGGCTGTCAGTCACTCCCTGTTCAGACACCACATTGTGGGAAGATCATCACCACCACATTGCAGAAGGCTGGTGTCCCGGGTAAAGATGATGCATATCATGTAAGCCCCATCACCAAGATCAAAGTATGCTTCTTTCGTGGAAGCCAATACATGTCAAACCTCATTCCAATCAAATCGTCTGGAAATGAATTCAGATGAATATGTCATAGAATAATGTGACAGTGGAACTGCAGAAGGTCAGGGGTGGTTGTTTCAATGAGAGAGTCGTCAAATATTAATTCTAGAACCCCCAGTCCAGATGAGAAGGCACTGAGGGAGATTAGTCAGCAGCTGGTGGGACTTTTAGTCGCTCACTTGTGTGAAAATGCATCAGACACCAACGTGTTGTCCTAAGTTTCACCTGAAGTCAAGAAACACCCCGAAACTCACAACCAACACAAGCAAAAGACAAAACAAAACTTCCTGGTTACATTGATTCAGCAAATCAGCGTTCAAAAGAGGATTTTAACTTACTGGGCTCCTTCAGAGCGGTTCGGGAAAACCGCAGCCGCTTCCTCATCACCAAGGAAGTCTTGTGCCTCATTTTCTGCCCTTGAGCCTGTTCCGGGGGGAAAAAGAGAGAAACAGTTACTAGCTAAATAATTTTATCCATGTTTGTATGGCAAGGTTCTGTGCCCTGCCTGTGTGAGTGAAAGGAAGCGTTAATCTGAAGAGTCTTTCAGTCTTTCTTTGACCATTTTCAAATCTGGCAATGGGGGAAAAAAAAGAACTCTGCTGGGAACTTCCTGTATTCATTGAAAAACAGCATATCCCTGATGATAAAAAATGTTAAAATCATCATTCCCGAACAATATTTTCATCTTAAACTGATTTATTGATCTTCCTTGCAGGTAGAATTAAGCACCTTTTCAGTTAGTCAGTGTTCAACCATCTCTAATATTTAGAATTTGAATTTATTGTATGAGAAGCATCCATTATTTTCTTTAAGTGTACTAACGAGTTTAGTGAAACATAATGGGGAGGGCTGGGAGGTTAGCAGATTAGAAACTGAGTTGTAACTCTTGAAACTGGGAAAAGAGAGATTTCTTTGCAGATTTCTAGATCCTGCTCTACTCTGCTGGTGTGTAATCCTTCACATGGCTTCTTCCCCCAAGCCCCTTTGGAAGCCATCACTGGCTAATTTTTCAAAGTTAATATAAAATCCCCCAGATTAGGGGGCGAAGGTATCATTTCTATCATCCGTCCCATTTCTTATTTAAGAAAGTCAGAAACAACCAGCTTCCCCCAAAGTAAGATATGTGCATTCTTTATCACATTCCCTTTTCAGATAGAACCAGCAAGCCTTTGGTCATCCTAAAGCCTGAAACCCACCCCGGGAACCTCTGCATCTGTCAGGCGAGGAAAGGCAGTGGAGCAGCAAACAGAGGGGATCCACCCGGCCCGGCCCTCAGTTTGGCCTAGAAAGACAAACAGTCATTGAAAAGGTCTCAGGCTGGACAAACACAACAAGCCCTCTGTCAATGAGGAAGTCTGCTTGTCTTGACACTCCAGCCCACAGAACAAGCGGTTGTTTAACTTGTTGAACCGCAGGCCAAATCCAAGTGGGGCTCTGCTATCTGAAAGGCTTTCCAGTTCTCTAGGTTCAAAGATCTCTTTCTCGCTTCCTTGCCTTCCATCTGGGGCTTGAACTACCTTGGGTGTTTTCACCCTTCCCTCTCCCTTCTTTTAAAGGTTCAAGCCTGAAAGGGGGGGGGGGGAGTAGACTCACCATTTCCCAAAGAGTTTTATTTATTTTCAATTCTTCCTAACCAAAAGACATCCATCCCCAAAGGTAATAAGCTCTTTCCCACACAAACCAGAGGAGAAAGCAGGCCCAACTTTGCATTCCTACAGAGGGGTGGCATGCTGGGTGTCTTTACTCTGAAATTTCCTCATGCAGGGGAACCGTCCTGGTTGGTTGGAACTAATAGACTTTACTTTTTTGCTTCTGAAGAAAATGGGTGTGAATTTCCCTAGCAAACCCTGTTCACTCAAGCCCTCCATTTAAGAGGCCTAGGCGACTTCTACCCCCAGATCCTGGCACTGTTTTGTGCATTACAAACCCATAGGCATGCAAACAATTGCTGCAGAGGCTGGACTTCAGGCAGGGAACTGGGACCTCAAGCTGCTCTCTGTAGCAGCTCCATCACCAGCCAGTGTAGGGAACAAGGGTAAATACCATCTTTGGTTCAAACTCTGACCCCACTTAGCGAGCTGGTCATCTCATTGAACGAGGAGTGAGAGAACTGGGGAGCAGTCCCTGGGCCCCTGGACCTGAGATTCCCCAAAATCCAAGGATTTAAAAGCCCTGAAAATGCTAGGCTTGGTTTTCCCCCAAATGATTGCTCCTGACTTGTCTTCTCACACCGGCCGGCCACTGAATCACCACCATTCAGGAGCACGGTCTGGAGACCCACTGAAATCTGCCTGCGTTTCCACATCCTGAGAAGAGGTGTCATCAGCCCTAGTAAGTTAATGGTGTTGGGGGAGAGCCAAGAAGTGGTTAGGCGGGTGGGTACATGCAAAGGGCCCCATTTTGCGGGGTCACCCTAGTCTGCGTGGTCCTAGTCAAGGTCAGAGGTCACCTGCAGCCTGCTGCCCAAGCTAGGGGCTCTGGTGGCCAGCCTTCGCCGCCGCCCCCCTCTGAGTAGCCTGCAGGCTCCCCTAAGAAGAAGGCGCGCTAGCCTGCCGGCCGCAGCTCAGCGCGGGTGCGGAGCAGGGCCCCGGCGCGGCCTCCTCGGAGCGCCCAGGCCAAGGCCAAAAGCCCTCCCCACCGTTGCCAGCGGCCCGCTGCTGTCAGCTGCACCAGGCCCCTCCCGGCTCCCCTCCGCCGGGCCCTCGAATACCAGGACGCTGGGGTGCGAGGCTGGGTGTGTGCCGGCCTTTCCTCACTCTGTTCCCGGGAGGGAAGAGCTCGGGTCCCGGCCCGCGGCTGAAAGCTGGGCGGCCTCCGCGTGTCCACGCTAGTTTGCGTGAGTGAGTCGCCTGAAGGACCAGCCTGGATATTTAACCATCCCTTTGAGCCACCCCCACCCCTAAATCTGCCCGCGGCTGGATGCAGGGAAGGAGGGTGGTGCTTCCCCCGGGGTTGCTGTGCCGCCTAAGCCGCCGGAAATTTTCTCCCCAAGGGGGGAGAAATGACCTTGGAAGCCAAAGGGAGTTTCCTGCAGATGGTGCCCGCCAAGTTGAACCTTCCAACGCCCCTTCTCCATTCTTAAGACCTCGCTAGGTCCCAGCTGTCCCCACGGACCATTCATCAACCCCAAGCTTCCCGGCCAAGCCTTTGAGGCCCTCCTGCTCTCTTGCACAGCCCGACACCGTTCCGCCCCTCTTGCCCCTGATTTACAGTGTCCCTCGGTGTCAGGGTAGTGCCCGGAGCCCTAGGTGCCTGCGGCCTGCTCCCCGGAGAACCAGTCCTCGCCCTCGTTTGCACCTGAGCGACAGAAAGCCACGTTCCACACCCGCGGCGGGCGGCGCGGAGAGCGGCTCCCACGGTCAGCGTCCCGAGGCCGCCCCGGGACCCGCGAGG